TATTAGGGTAAAGTATAGTAATGGTCACTGAATTTTTCAAAAGCTTGCATTTAGGTCCCCTAACTTTTAAAACTTGCAATACATTTCTCAAACATTCAATTTCTTTGCAATATGGTCCCCGACGTAACTGGTCGTTTGACGCCGTTACACTGCCGTTAGAAGAAGATGACATGGCAGTCCTCCAACATTTAGTCCGTTTGCAATATGGTCATTGAACTTTTCAAGAGCTTGCATTTAGGTTCCCCAACTTTTAAAACTTGCAACACAATCTTCAATTTCATTCTAAACCCTAAATTCCAGAAATAATTCAATTACATTCTAAACACTAAATTTAAAATACTTAAATTTAGGGTTTATAGGATTTAGAATATAATTAAAATGTTTTTGGAATTTAAGGTTTAGAATGTAATTGAAGTGTTTTGGAAATTTGAACACGAATTTGCTATTTGATAGTGTTTATTTAATATAAATTTGAGGTTTATTGTATGCACATCCAACGGTTGCCGCACTTTGAACATGAAAAGTACACCTATCATGTTTATTGATAAACCGTTGAAGTAAAAGTAATAAGGCCAATTTGTCTTGTTTGCAGCTGCCGCACTTTGGTATGACAATCCAGTAGGTTTGGATGGAACTTGAGCATGCACATCCAACGGCTACGGAAATAGTAAAGAGTTTTAGTTCATAGGACTACAACATACATCCAAGCAATAACTAAAATAAACCAAGAATATCAATTAATAACTCATTCAAAAGGAGGACTTAATAAATAAAGGGAAAGAGGTTCGATCATAGTCACTCCAAAAGCTAAGGCATCAAATGGGTTGTTTAAGATATACATTAGATGCCAAATACAACATTACCGGTTGCGAATGCATTAATGGCCTGCCCTTTTAACATATAATTGCTTCTAATGCTCCATGTTTAATGTTCCTCAATAGCCAAACACGATGAGAATCTAAAGCATATAGCGAAATTAAAATCGTAGGAGCCCATAATTCTTATAAATTCATGGCATGTCAGCAATAAAAGACATTGTAAAACATAGAGGACACTACAACAAACATATATATGCCAGAAATGAAGATGCAAATGTGCAATGACCAGACAACATATAAAGTAGTTGCTCCAAATAAACTACATTGTCATGATGCCTTTCGAGCTACGTGGATGCAGAATTGTCTTCTAAAGCTATAATTCAATACAGATTCAACTGTAAAATTTCTAAAACATGTAAAAAATCTAGTTCGTTCACGATATATCAGTCCCATAATCAACATGAACTTATTAAAAAGAATACGAGCTCAGAGGGCGCCGAAAACCACAGGTCGGATCAATACAATTCCCAACAAACTAGTACCAGCAGTCTCTCAGATTGAGCCTGGCGATTTCATTATGTCGATACTCACAACCAATTCCCCGATTTAAGAAAAACCAAACAAGAAGATCAAAAAAATTTAGCCTAGGACCCTCTTTCACTTATATTCTGATGGACTGAATATATTTCATAAGGAGTACTAAAAGTTTTGATTAAGAAGAAAGAAAGAAAGAAAATTAGATAGTTTTGGTTCAAAACTAACACTGAATATCCAGATCCTTGACATGAAGTTCCAGAAACATAAAAAATTTCAACAAAAAAACACACAATGCGAGCTGAAAATGGGAAAGTGTGAAAGCGGAAAAGCTTACTTCCTGAGAGCCTAAAAGAAAAAATAAATATCTTCTTGCAAGTGAGGGGAGAGAATAAGAAATAAACGCAATCGGTGTTGCGTTTCAGCAATTCTTCCTCCATTTTTTCTTTTTAAATAAAAAGCTGAAAGACAGAACACTGCTTGGGTTTACAATTTTACATGGGGGAAAACTAAAGAACAAAAACCAAAAAAGAGTGCATATGAGCGAAAGAGACAAAGAGGTGAAGGCGTTGTTTGGGATTTCATTATATTTGATCGTCTGTTGAAAAATCTTTAACCACAAGGATTAAACGAAGAAATTATTATATGTCATTTATACAAAATAATTCCAGCTTTGTTGGTGACTTTCAACAATGATACTTAGTTCATCTTAGTAGTATTTGTCAACTCTGCAATTCTAACCCCATTTTTTTCTCACAAGCATTTCATTGAACAGTTATGCTTAACCTGAGATGACTTGTATCTAACATTACACCTTGAATCGTTGATGGTCCCGATAGTCCCTTGGTCGGGTCTTCTCTCAATTGACCTTTATTCAAGTCAACACCTCCACAAAATTCAAAGTTAGATTAGAATTTCTCATGCATTCCCGACTGAAAAGTTACATTGGAAATGAGAAGAGAGAAGCGAAAAAGGAAATTGGGGTTTAGAATGAAATTGAAGATTGTGTTGTAAGTTTTAAAAGTTAGGGACCTAATTACAAGCGCCTGAAAAGTTCAGTGACCAAATTACAATCAGATTAAATGTTGGAGGACTGTCACGTCATCTTCTTCTAATGAAAGTATAACAGCGTCAAACGGTCGGTTACATCGGGGACCATATTGCAAACAGACTAAATGTTGGAGGAAAGTATTGCAAGTTTTAAAAATTATAGGACCTAAATGCAAGTGTCAGAGAAGTTCAATGACTATTACTATACTTTACCCTTATTATTAAATGTCTTGAAGGATCCAAGAAGGAGGGGAAATTGGGTATTTGAGGTCGAAGTTGGATGGGGTCCGCGATCCAGGTGCGCACAATGAAGTAACGTAAACGTACCGTCTGGAGCCCTCGAAGCCTGAACCGTTCACGTGGCGCCGTGCCTTTCGCTCCAACTACGCTCCAAATGAAACTCACGATTAAGGCTAAATCCTCATCTCCATCGACACATACGGTTGTAGTCATCACCGAGGATGAAGAAAATGCTGACACTTTCACTCTCTCCACCACAGCAATCTCTCTGCCTTTCCACTCCACGGCATGTACCCGTTATTCCTTCCCGAAACGCACCGTTTCAAGCTTCAACGAGGCTCTCCACTCTCGCTCCCTCTTCTGGTTGGATCGGTTTCAATCCTCTCAGGTAAGTTTAATACTCTCGATTAGAATCAAATTTTCGGGAAAATGAAGATTTTTTTTTACTTCCTTTGAATTTGAATTTTGAATTTGTAGATTTTCGATTAAGGATAAGGAGATAAAGAAGAAGAGTAGAGGATCCGGTGCGGTTTGCTCCGCGGCTCCTTTCTCACCTCGTAATCTCCAGTGGATCTCCGCCATTTCTTCTGCGTAAGTCTTTTGATTGGCTGCCTTTTCATTTTCATTTTTCAGAAGAAAAAAAGTATCATTTCTTGAAGTGATTTCGAACAGGATTTTGTTGATTACGAAAGGGACAATGATTCGAAAACAATTTATTGTTCCATTGTTCGCAATTCAAGCTCCAGCAAGCATCATTGCATGGATGAAGTAAGCAAAAGTTTTCTTACTCTTTTGTAATTGTATTGATCAGTTTCCTGTAGCATTTTCTTTTATATTTGGTCTTGGACTCAAATAGGTAGACCTGTTAATTGGGTGGGTTGGATTGTTATTGAAAAGGGTCAATCTAGGTCAGCTGAATTTGGATTTAAAATTTTTGAATCATTTCTGGTTCAATCATTGGGAAATGCCATTTGGTTTTTTTCCAGATTGGATGGATCATCTCGGGTTTAGGTTGTTCTGGTTTCGGGAATTGACAGGTCTAGATGGAGTCAAATTAGTACCTATTTTTTTCCATTCACAAGATTTTAAACTGACCTTACTTAATAGACACAGAGCATTGTACCACTCAGACCAAAGTACAATTTTTTTTTTCATTAAAAACCTTGTGACCGATGATCAAATTTGCAGGGGTGAATATGGTCTTTGGGCAGCGTTTTTGACACTGCTTGTTCGTCTCTTCTTCTTCATTCCTGGTAAATTATTTCTATGGTACTATATATATATTGATCCCAAATGAGATTCTGCTAGTTTGATTCAATTCAACATTTTGCTTTTTTTGGGGTTTGATTTTGTTGTATCTCAATAATTCGGATTGGTTTTACCGTCGAATGATTGGACTGGATTCAATTTTCGGAATAATTTGGCCGTGAATCTGGAGCCTTGGATACATTCAACCATGAAATTCTGACAGTTTATTTTGTTTGCTAAATTAATTGAATGATAAAGTAATCTTTTCTGTTACTAGGTGAACTTGAGTTGCCATTTCTAGCATTACTTTTGGTGATTGTGACCCCTTACAATGTTCTGAACATAAGGTTAGTATGTTGTGTACTGCTTTAGGTAACTTGATGATATCTTCCATGTTACTTCGACTCCTTCATTTACCCTCCTAATACATGGAAATCTTAGAAACATAGACTATTAGTTGCCTATTTGATACATATATTTGATAAGGTTTATGCATTTTTATTGTTTCATTGACAGCGGAACACAACAAGGCGCTATTATTGCCTTAGTGATTGCAGCATATTTGGCTTACCAGCATTTCTCAGGTGCAGGCAGCTTTCAGAGAGCATTTGACCAAGGTTCAATTATTGCCACCATAGCCGTTGTTTGCATCACTGTTATCTCGTGCTTGCTTTTGATCCGAATTTAACGAAGAATAAAGACGTCTTTCAAGTTATTGAAGAGACAGAGGGAGGGTGTACTGTAAGAGTAACTAATTTTCCAGATCATTGTTCTTGTTTTAGTATGACAAGTACATTTCACTCTGAGAAAAATAAGAACAAATAAATATGTCATATAGTGCGTGTATGCTATTGTTATATTGAAATAATACAGTTTGAGCTTGCAGTGGAATGATTGTGATTATAATTCTTCGATACTTAATCGGATCCGGATACTATAAAAAATGCACATCTATTCTATTAACCGTATCGTCATCGAGATGAAATGATAAATTTTCATACGTTTGAGAAAATACTGCTATGCTACCTGGTGAATAAGTATAGTTTAGTATTTAAAATAGTAATAAGAATGTATGTATATGATATATATGTGCATGTTAATGAGCTAGTAAGCATTCCTAGATCTCAATAACTTATTATTCGAACTACAACTCTGAACAAGCAGCTATGATAACATCTATGAATGCTAGAACCTAAGATATTCTATGATGTTCATATTTTCCCCCTGCTCCAGCTTTTATGCATGCATAGATCGATACCTATAGCTGTAGATCTTAATGTATCGATGCCACTGAGATGATCATCCCATTGTTGATTCTCAAAGATTGTTGTAATGCTAAGGAACCAATGGAACTGCGATCGTGCCTCTGAAAGTTGATTGACTCTTGCCTAGAATATGTTTGCAGCAACAAGCGACCACACCAGACTCATCGTCACATAGATTGGCCAAAACCGGAACGACACTGAGATGGCTGAATTGGGGAGTCCGGTAGGTCCTGCTGAACCATAAACTGTGTCCCCACCTGGCCCGGTAGACGTTGGCGGGGTCATGCTGAACGGTGGAGCCATGGTGGTGGTACTTGGTGGGGACATGGTGGCTGGTGGTGCCATTCTGGCTGGTGGACTCACACTGTATTCATTCACATGTTTAGAAGGAAAAAGCAGTAAGATCTTTGTTCTCTTTGTATGGAAATTTAAAAAGTAAATTATCTTACGGATCTTGTACTATAGGGTTATGTGAAAAAAATTAGCCCCCCAACTCTGAAAAAAAGTGATTTAGTCCTTGACAATTAAGCTAACATGGAAAAAGATGAGTAATTTAGTTCTTGTGTTTTAGGAAATGTACATTCTTTTAATACTTCAGCTTAAAGCACTGCAATTCAATATTGTTTAATGCTTTGTATCCTTTGAAATAAAATGTACAGGGACTAAAAAACCTGGGTTTCAGAACTAAGAGGTACTCATTTGATATTCAGCTTATAATAAAGGGGACAATAATATAATTTAACCATTTAAAACATTTCGTTGTAAGATTATTACTCTGTTGACGAGGATGCTGCGTAGTGACAGTTTGCAGTACCTGCACCAAAATATTACATATCAATCCTAAATGTTGTCTAAAAATGAACAGTTATCACCCATAAATGATGTCTTACTTGGATCGGTGTTAGTAAGCTGAGCTGCTCCTCCGAAAACGCAGTTGGTCGGATCTGGGTGCTTCTGGTAATAATCATTGAAAGCATAAGAAGCATGATTTTGAACGGTGTCTGGTTCATAACAACTCCCACCAGTCTGAATTGCAGAGCATCCTGCACCATAACCACAAGCATAGTCTAGAGCTACTTGTAGTGCAGTTGGTGAAGCGCCTTGATTCGCAACACACCACGTCCCTCCCGATGACGACGGCGGAGTCGATGGAGTAGTGGTCGGGACAGTCGGAGGAGTCATGATGGGCGCAGTTGGGGTGGGATTTGTGTCGGGCAATGTCGGGGTAGGGACGGTCGGGGAGGGAATTGTGTCGGGTAATGTTGGCGTAGGGACGGTCGGGGAGGGATTCGTGTCGGGTGATGTCGGCGTAGGGATGGTCGGGGAGGGATTCGTGTCGGGTGATGTCGGAGTGGTAACGGGGGTAGTAGGGTTGGTGATGGGCTCGGTTGAGGGGGATGTTGGAGTTGTGGTACTGCCAGGAGGAGTAGGGTTAACAATGGGGACATTGTCTTGTGTTGAAGGGGCAAAGAATACCCTAATGTTCTGTTTTGGTTTTGGATTGTTTTCTTGGGGAGGAGGGTTGTAGGGAACACTTGAACCTGAAGAGGTTAAGAGCAAAGCCAAAGGTAAGGGTTTGTTGTTTTTTCATGATGAAATATATAGACATGCAAAATTAAAGGAAATAGGAACGTTTCTACAATGATTGACAATGCCATCGACAAATGAGGATAATAGTTTAGGTATGATTTTGAAAAAATTGAAAGTTTAGGTACTAAAATGGACCAAAACCACTAGTTTAGGTACTAAACACATAATTTACCCTATTATTTTTATAAAATTTTATTTTAACCATGTACTTTTAATTTTCTTTCATTTTGTCCTAAAAGTACCCAAAAATTGAAACACACTCACCGATGATTTTACTGAAGTTGTTTCCATCTCCTAATGACTTTATCAATTACCGTAAAAACATCTCTATTTCCCTAATTAATTTTAAACCATTTTTAAATCCTTATTTTTTCCCCAATATCAATTCCCTCCTAATTAAACACGTTTGACAAGATAAAAAATTGGATCCGTTTGTTTCACTGAAAACGTTTTTCGGAAAATATTTTCCGTAAAATGAATTATATTTTCTGAAAAACATTTTTTGAAAAAACGTTTTACGATGTTTGGAATATATTGTTTAAACCCTTTTTTCACTAGTTGATGATTTTTTTTAAAATTATTTATTATAAATATTAAATACAATAAATAATATTATTTATCATAAAACTTAATATTATTATTTTAAAAATATTAAAATATTATTTTTATAATTTTATTAATAAAAATATTAATATTGGTATATTTTATTGCAATAATTATAAATTATATTAATTATTTATTAAATTAATAGTGTTATATTATATTTTAAAAATATTAATTAATATATTTTAAATATCTTTATTAAAATATTATTATATTAATATTAAATATATAAATAATATTATTCATTATTAATAATTTAACAATATTATTTCTATTGAAATTAATAAATAATATAAATTTGATTAATAATTTATTATATATTATTAAAATAAAAATATAACATCTTATATTATTATAATATAATTGATTATTTTTTATAATATTAAAAATATAATATTATATTATTAGAAATATTAATAAATATATTTTAAATATTTTAATAATTAATATTTTGATTAAAATTATATTAAAATATTTTATTAATATTAAATTTATAAAATAAAATTATTTTGAGTATTTATTATTTGAAGTGAAAAGTTCGGAAAATGAATTGCGGAAAATCAGAGCGTAAGTCATTTTTCAAAAAACACAAAGTAAATTCTGTTGACCAGAAAAATGTTTTACGTTGACCAACCAGTTTTCCTCCAACCAAACACTGAAAAATGAGGAAAACGTTTTACGGAAAACATTTTACGTTTAAACAAATGGGCCCTTAGTGAACCTATTCTTTGGTCGTTTAGGAACCAAGCAATCTATACACTAATGAAAATGTTACATCTAAACATTTGTGTTTGATATATAAGAAATGAACATTTGAGCATACCCTTTTGGTGCAAAATTAAGAAGACGACGACGACGAATATAAGAATGAATTACCTGAGCAAAGGAAAACTTGGAAGAGAAAGACCCAGAGAAAGTGAACAAATCTTGAGTTCATGTCTTGAAAATCAAAGACCAATTGCAAACAAAAGGTCTGTAATTTGCATAAATAAACAAAAATACTTTGTAAGGAATCAATGCTTCATTGGAGGGATGATAGATTGAAACGGAGAGGAAAAGGCAGAATACTTGAGAGAAGAGGCATTTTGGTTGTTGGATTTAGCAAGCAAGGGAGAATGCAAAAGGGTTATATGTTGGGTTTTTGAATCTTATTTTACAACATACACACTTTCTCCCATCTTCGGACTTTTTTTTATTAAACTCGAATGATTATAAGATCATATGTGTTCGATCATTTAACAATAAATACCTAAAAAACCGTGTTCAAGTAGATTCCATGTTACTGTTTTTTTCTCCACATACTTCCTCTAGAAGGCTTCATGGACATTTTTGTAGCCTCTTAGTCAATATTTCATCTTTAGCACATTATTTTGGTTTTTGGGCCCATTATGGTATCCGGGTTTTTTATTTAGCCCACTAGAGTTTCCGGGTTTTTATTTTGGGATTTACGATATTTTCTACAATGACGAGTTTCAATAAAAAAAAATATTTCTTTACTCAAACTCATCAATTTTGCAAATATTTTTGGGCTGCCCTATTGGGCAAAAAAACCCATTATTTTCTTGAAGTTCTTAAAAATTACATCCTTTGATCAAAACTAGACCAATGCTTGGACATCACAGAGACCTTGAAATGTATGCTCCACCATTGCTTATAAATGTTGAAGCGTAAATTACATGCTATGTTCTAGAGGGTAGTTGCTGATTGAATTTTTATGAGTAAATTATACTTGTGACTACTTAAGTAGAAGATCTTGATTCAAACACCAATCTTGTAATTTTTTCAATCAGATAATTAGTTATTAATATTTATCGGAGAAGATAACGTAACAATTAAAAAATCGATATAATTCTATATGTAGTCCTTGTTACTAACACATCTTATAATAGAAACTCTCGTCACACACATGTGATTTTGGGTTCAACACTCAAATATTTTCAACCATTTAGAGTTAAATATCATTCCAACTTTTACAATTATTCAAGTTATTTAATTTAGGGTAAAGTACATAAATGATCCCATGATTATACGACTCTACTTTATTGAGTCCATCGACTTAAAATTTACAAACTGATCACCCAACTATTCATATGTTTCTAACTTGTCATTTTCTATTAAAAAATTGACGGTTGTTTGAGCATGACATTAAGCTATTGACTGGGATATGATAAAATCTTATCCCAAAACCGTTTGAATTGTATAGTCGTTTGAGATTTTGAGATAAGATTTTATCATATCCCAATTAACAGGTTAACATCAAGCTCAAGTGACCATCAATTTTTAACGAAAAAAATGATGAGCTTGAAATATATTAAGAGTTAGGTGACCATCTTTTTTAATAGTCAGAGGACTCAATAAATTAGTGTATTATAGTCAGATGATTGTTTTATAACTTTTAATAGTTCATAGATGTAATGAAATAGTGTCCTATAATTAAGGGATGATTTGTGTATTTTATCCTTTAATTAAATAATTACAAAATTTCGAGGTATATATAATCATGAATAGATATATAATGATATGAATTTGTCGATTAAATAATTTACAGCGATTAAAAATAATATTATTTTACTTAGAGATTTTAAGTACGAATAATTACATATGTAAGATATATATTCATTGTCACGATAAAAAATTTTAATGTCATTTCATACTATTCAAAAAAGAAAAAAATATATGTAGCTTTGTCGGGTTCAAACCCGGGTCCAATACGGATCTTATTTCGGATTGACCAAATGAACCATCCTTTCTCACTATTTCATTTTCCAACCGGCACTGATCTCCAGCTTAAGAAACCCTAAAACTCCCTTAAACCCAACACGAAACACCAAAAAAATCCCTTCAAAGCAATGGCGTTGTTCTCCCGCATCCGTACACCGGCAACCGCCGCATCTTTTCACCTCCGCCACTTCTCAATCCTTTCTCAAGACTCCTCCGCCCCTCTCACCTCTCACCAAAAATCACGCGCCGCCCTCTCCCTCCTCAAATCAGAGCAAAACCCCGAACGCATCCTCGAAATCTGCCGCGCCGCCTCACTCACCCCACTATACCACCTCGACCGACTTGCCTTCTCCGCTGCAATCTCCAAACTCTCCGATGGAAACCATTTCCACTACGTCGATACTCTCCTCCGTGAACTCCGTTCCCGTCCCGACTTACAAAACGAGCGTTTCGCATCCCATTCATTAATCCTCTACGGTCAAGCCAAGCTGCTGAACAACGCCTTAACGGCGTTCGGCGACTTTTACAACGAGGGGTTATGCCGTACGACGAAATCATTGAACGCTTTGATTTTTGCGGCAATTATAGCGAAGGACTATAAAGAAGCGAAGAGGATTTTTGTGGAATTTCCCAAAAGGTATGGCATTGAACCTGATTTAGAAACTTACAATACTGCGATTAAGGCTTTGTGTGAATCTGGATATTCGACTTCTGTTTATTCAATTTTGGTTGATATGAAAAGTAAATCGATTAAGCCAAATGCGACCACATTTGGGACTTTATTAGCTGGGTTTTATGCGGAGGAGAAATACGAAGATGTTGGTAAAGTGTTGAATTTGATGAAGGAACATGGGATTCCAATTGGGATTAGTACTTACAATATAAGGATTCAGAGCTTGTGTATGTTGAAGAAGTCTAATGAGGCTAAGGCTTTACTCGATGGGATGATATCGAGAGGGATGAAGCCAAACTCGGTTACATATAACAATTTGATATATGGGTTTTGTAAGGAAGGGAATTTGGAGGAAGCTAAGAGGTTGTTTAAGAGCATGGTGGACAGAGGATTGAAGCCTGATAGTCAATGTTACTTTGCTTTAGTGCATTTCTTGTGTCAAGGTGGGGACTTTGAGAGTGCTTTGAGGATGTGTAAAGAGAGTATGGAGAAAAAATGGGTTCCGAATTTTTCGACTATGAAATCTCTTGTGAAAGGACTTGCTAGCATATCTAAGGTTGATGAGGCCAAGGAACTTATGCAGAATGTTAAGGAGAAGTTCTCCAAAAAAGCAGACATGTGGGAAGAAATTGAAAAGGATTTGGTAAGCTAGTCTGGTCGAGTTTGCATGGAAATGAAAATTATTTGAGCCCTTTTCTCGTGCAGGTGGAATTGTTTTCCTCTTGTTTGTTGAACTATTGAGCATCTACTAGTTTACTGGGATTATTTTGGCAATGAAACTGTCCCCAATAACTTTTTCATTTTTTTACTTAGACTTGTTCTGCGAGTTATTTTAGATGTCCCGGAATCGTCACTGTAAACAGCTACCCCGATTTCTGAATGAAATCTGTTATCAAGTTGATGTTTATGATGGAATTACAGCTGGTTTTGCTCATGAAACTCGGCAACGATCAAGGTAAAGGCAACTATCGTAGATTGGGATATTTTCTTGATTGGATGGCGTAGTCTATGGAACTTATCAGCGGGCGCTTGTATGTTCCCTTATTGTTTTGTGTTCATCTTTGACATTTCTGTTGAGTACAATTGTGGTGCATAGTGCATACTGGTACTTAGCTCAGCTCCAAGATTTCCCCTTAAATGTTTTTAAAAGTTCGCCCTGATTTAACAGAGTTTTAAGTTATGAAGACGATTTGTTGCTTTCTTTGTTTCTCCTCAAAGTTATCAAATCATTAGTTCCTTATGGCTTCCCCTTGGATAAATAATTCACTTCTTGGTCTTCGAACCCCTCTTTCACTACAAACTTTCCCTATTTGAATGAGTGTACTTTTGCAAGATAAACAAAACTAATATAAACAATATATCATCCCAATTATATTATTTTATGACACATTAACATCACCGCCATAGGCGGAACTAAGAATTTATTATAGCAGGAGTTAAAATATTTTTTATTTTTTATAAATACAAATTTTTTAAATAGGGGGACCTGATAAATTTTTTTTATTTTTAAAAAAATATATTGTATGTATTAATTAATAATTAAAAATATAAGTAACGGGAGCCAAGCCTCCCCTTGGCCCTGACGATGTTCCGCCCATGATCATCGTTAATATTTTAATGACGCATGACAAAATAGAACCAAAACGTAATTTTAGGCATGATTTTTGAGAAAAGAAAATATTTGAATGGTTTGAACGAAACCAAAGTGATAATTGAGTGACTAGGTTCATAGTTTACCCTTAAAAAGTTAATAAATCAATGACTAGAATATAATTCTCTCATAATTAAGCGATCATCTATACAATTTACTTGTTTTTATTATGAAAAAATAGTTAATTAACTTTTTTATATTTAATGTATGATGGAGAAGTAAAATTTGAAAATAGATGCATATTGGAAAATGAAATAAAAATACCAAAATTCAATATTTATAAACATCACATAAACTAAATTGTTTTTTATATTTAATGTTAGTTTAAAATACGATAAATAGAGATGAACGCATAATTTTATGTTAAGATACGAGTTTCTAAAATTTTAAGAAGAGCTGAACTTATAAAATTTTAAGGGAAGAAAATAAATTATCAATAAAAAATATAAAAATTATCTAAAATATATAATAACTTAAAATGGTCAAGAAACAATTGTCTAATCCCACCTTTGATTAAGGCTATAAACGATTCGAGTGGAGTTTGAGTGTTGTTAAGTTTGATTCAAGTCAAAATCTTTAAAATTAAACTCGACTCAACTCGAAAACTAGTGAACAATTGTTAAGCTCGACTCAAACTCGAAATAAAAAAATTGAAGCTCGACTTGACTCAAAAACTTCTGAGGTTAAAATTTTCAAGTTCTACTCTAAATCAAAAATTGAAAACTCAACAGGAACTTGAATCATAACCTTAAGTACAAGAAAGATTTATATTGTTTTTTTTTAAAATAACATATAAATTTTAATATAATTTTAAAAAATCTAAAATTTTAATATATTATTTTTTGAGTTCCTCACGATCTTTTCGAGTCGAGTGTCAAGTAGCTCGTTTCAGCTGGTTAATAATTCGAGTCGAGTTTAAACTCGATTCGAATCTATTCGATTTGAGCAGTAACTGAACTTTGACCAAATCAATCTCAAATAGCTCACAATAATAGGAAGTCGAATAATAGGAAGTCGAAGGGACGACAACTTAATTTAAAGATAAAAACGATAATTTTTAGCACAATAAAAAATGTGATGATTTTTATCACATTTTTGATTGAGTACAACCTAAAATGTTATATTATTCCTGACATTTTAGGTTGAACTTAAAATGTTACATTTTTCATAACATTTTCAGTTGATAATTTAATATATTATTTTCTTTGTAACATTTTAATTTAAACCGGAAATATTAAAAGATTACAATATTTTAAATTGCATCTAATTTAAAATATTTAAATTTTAGAGAAAATCGCCTCAGTGACCAAAAAAAAGTTATAATATACGATTTTAACCAACTTTTTTTGGATTTGCCAAAATGACCAACAAAATCGCAACGCGAAATAAAAATCGCAACGCGATCCCCAGAATCGCAAATCAGTTTCCAAAATCGCAACGCGATTCTTTAAAATCGCAATGCGATAGTACAAATTCGCATTGCGATTTTCCAAAATCGCAACGCGAATATGAAAATCGCAACGCGAACACATAAATCGCAACGCGTATCCGTAAATCGCAACGTGTATCCGTAAATCGCAACGCGTATGGGTAAATCGCAATGCGTATCCGTATATCGCAACGCGTATCCGTAAATCGCAACGAGAATCTGTAAATCGCAACGATAATCCGTAAATCGCAACGCGATATTTAAAGCGCCATTATAATCGCTACGCGTATTTTATTTTCAAATTACAAAAAGAATATTAAGACAAAATCCCGTAATCGCAACTCATAACCTAAAACCTAAAATCACAACTCAGTCCCATCTCCATCTCTCACTCTCTACGGCGAAGAAATCCGTCCCCATCTCCGAAGATTTCCGTCCCATCTCCGGCGAAATCCCTCACAACCATTCACGGTCAGAAATCCCTCACAATATTCAGAAATGGAAAATCAACCTCCGAGGGTTAGTTTTTTAATTATTTTTATTTTGAAATGTTTGCATTATTGTAGGTTTTTCATATTGAAACTGATGATAAGTTTACTGGTCATTTCAATAATAGATTAACCATTTCACTTAGATTTCATTTCGCGTTACGATTCTGTCGTTGCGATTTTCATTTCGCGTTGCTATTCTCTCGTTCCGATTTTCAAGTTAGTATTTGTCTTTGTCTTTGTTCTGTCTTTTGGTTGAAGTAATGCAATCCATTCAAGTTTCAATTTGCAGAAGAGTCGCAACGAGATAAATGAAAATCGCAACGAGAGAATGACTGTCGCAACGAGAGAAATGACAATCGCAACGAGAGAATCGCAACGCGAAATGAAAATCGCAACGAGAGAATCGCAACGCGAAACCAAAATCGCATTGCGATTTTCATTTCGCGTTGCGATTCTCTCGTTGCGATTGTCATTTCGCGTTGCGATTCTCTCGTTGCGATTGTCATCTCGCGTTGCGATTCTCTCGTTGCGATTTTCATTTCAACCAAAAGACAAAACAGTGTTGCAAATTTTAGTTTCAAGAATAAACTACTACTTTTTATGTTTATTGTTTTGGTATATCTTCACAGTGTAGTTTTTGGTATATCTAACTTGGTATGTTTATTGTTTTTGTAGAAATTTTTTTCGGCTCAATTGACCTTGAGAAATAAAGTCAGCCTGGCCACTACAATTGCAAAGAAGCTTTCACCTGCTCAAAGACAATTGTTTGAGGAAACCTGCTTCGGGCCATGGCTGAGAGTACAGCATCCGGGTGGAGATGCTAATTTGACCCATTTGTGGCTTCAGACCATGACATCAAATCTACCCGACAGTATACAACGTGGTGAGGAAGAGATATGGTTTCATTTTCCACCAGCGTATACTTGTTTTGGGCGGAAGGAGTTCTGCTTAATCACTGGTCTACGATTCGGACACGATGATGTAGGCCGGTACACTCGTCATATCGCCCGCCCATCATGGTTATCCCGGGTTTTTCCGGATGAGTCAATGGAGAAGCCGAACCTACATGTCGATGACCTGAAGAAATTGTTTAATAAGAAAGCTGGTTTCACTCGGATGGATGACGTCGATGTTGTCCGAGTATGCCTTCTACTACTTGTGTATGCCTGCTTTTTAGGCAGAGAGGCCAGACAACCTATTCATCGGGAGCTAATAATATTGGTAGAGGACCTGAATGCATGGAATCTGTTTCCGTGGGGTTCGTATATATGGAAAGCTACCTGGACTAAGTTGTCGTCTGCCTTTGATGACCGCAAAAGTTTGCGGGGCGATGGGTCCAAATACACTTTGTCAGGCTTTGTTTGGGCCTTTAAGGTAAGAATTTCTATATAATGTTTCTAAAATTATAATTAATTATTTAACAATTACTAATTTTGTTATTATATTGTTTGTAGATTTGGATATTCGAGGCTTTCCCCAGCATGCGTACATATGCAATAAAAACGTCAAATGATATTCCCAGGGCTATTTCCTGGAAGAGGAAAACTCTGTTGGATTGGGAAGACTTAATACCATATGCCACAATAAATAATGTAAGTTAACACAAATACTTTCATATAATATATAAACAAGTTATTAATAGTAGACGTTTAACTTTGTTTGAGTTTTTATATTTTAGGAGGCTAACATTCCATTACAAAGACTGACACCCACGGAGGAAGAGCTTGCCACTGATTGGTGGCAAGCTAGTCTGAATTTTTTTGATGGCACGGATGATGAGCAGCATCCACTTCCTCCAATTCGAGAGCCATCACCTCACCTAGAGCCATCACCCGATCGACCCGACTATACACCTCTAGAACGAGAGCCATCACCTATCCCGTCACATCATCGAGCCTCTTCTCCACCATCACCTCATGATAGGCGACCGGCAAAGATGCCACGACTCCTATCTCCCTGTTCTCCACCTCCACCTCAACGGGATGAGTCAAGGGAGTTACGTGATGAGGTCAATGCCTTGCGTGAGGAGATCGGTACTCTACGCGATAACGATGGTGCATGGCGTGTGGAGGTGTCAACTTTACGTGGTGAGGTTGCCGCTCTACGTGAGATGATAGTATCGTTGCAGAATGAGGTTCATACTCTACGCAACGAGGTAAGTTTAAGATTTTCCATATTTAACTTAATGATAAATTTACTCGTAATTTCACTTAGATTAGCCATTTCACTTAGATTGCTTAGTAAATTTATTCGGTTGCTGCCAATTCTGCTAAACTGTGTATTCTTTAACACTGTGAAATAGTATTTGTCTTTGTTTTGTCTTTTGGTTGAAAGTAAATTTGTTCGGTTGCTGCCAATTCTGCTAAACTGTGTATTCTTTAACACTGTGAAATAGTATTTGTCTTTGTTTTGTCTTTTGGTTGAAAGTAAATTTGTTCGGTTGCTGCCAATTCTGCTAAACTGTGTATTCTTTAACACTGTGAAATAGTATTTGTCTTTGTTTTGTCTTTTGGTTGAAAGTAAATTTGTTCGGTTGCTGCCAATTCTGCTAAACTGTGTATTCTATAACACTGTGAAATAGTATTTGTCTTTGTTTTGTCTTTTGGTTGAAAG